TCAGCCCAGTGAAACAACACATCCGCACTGCAGCCCAGCAAACAAAAGCAACTGGTAAACCAGGACTCTAAGTTTTCAGGCAAAACAAGATACATTCAAAAACAAAATAGAGAAATTGCTGTTGCCTTAACCAGAGGAAGATACCAAGTTAGGTGAGCAATACTGAACAGGAGGAAAAGTCTAACTGTCTTAAGTATCCAGATATCATTAACAAAAATCAGCTCTCAACATAGTCTCTCAATCTATTTAACAAAAAAAAAAGAAAAGAAAAAACACCCTTGCACGTCCATACACATCCTTTTGATTGAAATCACATGGTGAACTGTGCAAAACTCTACACAAATCCCACAACGAAAGAAAAGATTCAAAGTACTTCACACAACATAAACCCCAAAAGGTTTTGCCGTCTGGATTCCCAAGTAACCCATTCCCTCATTTTTGCCTGCTAGAGTTTGCCTTCTTTCCAGACAGCCACACGAAATCCTTGGAAATTATTAGGATAGAGCTCCATTTGTCTAGTTTTCTGCCCAGGACTGCATACACAGAATTAGAGGAAAATTTCAAGTGGGCACAATTCCAAGTGGGCCTCCTGTCATTTTGGCCAATTACACTAATGATCACATTCTCAATGAAATCAACCAAGGTTTAATTGACTGTCAAGTCAGTCTGAGGTACTTTAATTTACTACCTTGTATGGTTAATTAAAGTGCACTGAACAGAATCCAAGACTATCCTGCAAATCCTGCAACCAACTAAAAGGTTGCTGGGTGGTTTTTTTCATTAAAGTTCAGCTTTAAAACTCTTAAGCTGTGCTCAACAGCCAGTTAAAAAAAGACACAAAACAATCTAAAAAATATTTCTCAATAAATTCTCAGCTTTCAGATCAATTTTTCTAACATCTTTACATAAGAAAAACACACTTCACTCTGCCAAGACAAAAATAATTTAGATATACATCTCTCAAAATACATACTTGCCCTACTTATCCATTTCTTACATTACTGAAAAGCATAATTTCAGAATGTTTCATGCCCTAATACATTTTAATTTCTTGGTCTATAAAGACAAACCTTGAAGAAAATTATCCATGTCAACATTATATTAAGATCAGTTTCTTCACTGCATGAATGCATTGATTTTTTAATTGTAGAAATTACTATAAATACAAATACAATCAGCATTTATATGGTTAATTAGACATTTGGCTTTCAAAACCAATGCCTAGGCCTGCAAATATTTAAAGATGGAAACCTCACAACAGCACATCAAGTTATACCCCACACATCAACGTAAAACTAACAGGTGATGCATATTAGCCAGTTCTTAAAACTTTATACTTCATAGACATTAGAATGGGTAGGGCTTCTCAACTTTAGCAGCACCTTTAATGCCTCAGAGTATAAAACAAGATCCTTCCAAAAAACCATTTTATTACTAAGACTTTTTCTGTCCCCAGTATCTTTATAACGCGCATATTTGCACTCAAACGTCAAACTCACAATTTCCTACAAGATGGCCTTAACAACAACAACCATTTTTAGACACAGAAGACTGTCGCTAGGCATTCGGCCTGGAAAGCAATAAATCTGGTGGATGCATGGTATTAATTTGAAAATGTTTTCTGAAGAACAAGATGCCAAAGCTTTGACATAAGTCATTTGCCAAGAGTTAACTATTTAAACTCATAGTCTGATGTAGCTTCAAAACCCAGCACTACAGAAACATGAAGGAATTACTCTAACAAGTGTCACTTAACAAAATTACAAGGGGGGAGGGGAAGGGAATAAAAAAAGAATTCACTGTAGTAATGTGCAAATTTCAGAAATGCTTCAAAGGATTGTAAAGAAGGACATTTTCCAAAACTGATTTCACTTTGAGGCCACTAGACTGGAGATTAAAAAAAAAAAAAAAGGAGGGAGAGAAAAAAATTGGTTGGGAATGAAATACAAGAAATCAAACTAAACAGGTAAAGAGAAGCAGGTATTCCACAATTCTGTGCTCAACTGCTGTCATCCACCTTCCTAACAGAGAAAGGTTCCTTGGTTTGTCCATAACTTAGTTTCTTGTCTTTGGGAGAAAAATAGTATAAAATGTTTACAGACCAGGTAGCTACAAGTACCGGAGCTTGCACTGTGTTTGGCCCAGCTCATCCTGAGGCTGAAGTCTTTTTGACTACTTTTATGGGATTAAGTCTTAGGGTCCAGTTTAAAGTCTTAATTATGACACTACACTCAAACACGAAAATCCCAACATTTTCTATTTTCATTTGGGCAACATTTTGCTTTAATTCCATCTTCCCTGTAGGGAATAATTCCTAGCTCTAGCCAGTACTGTCATAGCATAAGCGTCCCACAACTATGGCTGATGTTCCTCAGAAGAGACCTGCATTAGCCCTACTACAGCACTCCAGAAACTGGAAGTCTGCTAAACTGCACCGTGGTTTTATAATGCAAACAAACCTCCACAAGAGGCTAAGCTGAAACAAACAGTTCATTTATTTTGTGACTGTAGCCAAGTCTGAAACCAGCAAGGGAGACTAGCCATTAACTTACTGCAGAGCTCAGGATTCAGCGCCAAGGTTGTATGTTTAAAAATATTTGCATTAAACACAGGCATAAATTCTGGCACATACTTAGGAGGCAAATATAACTGGGGTGGGGGAAGATTAAAAAACCCACAAACAAACACTTGATCCTT